AAGAGAACCTACAGACTGGGAAAAAATTTTTGGACAGTACAAGTCAGACAAAGGTCTAATCTCCATAATCTACAAGAAAATCCAACACCTCTACAACAGAAAGGCTACTTTTTGTTTCTCCTCTTTTAACAAGGTTGAGACACCCCTCCCACCTCCTTGATTTCTGTACATAAAGTGGGGGCTCACATTTGTGGAAAAAGTTGTAGCAGGGATTTCTGGCAATATGAGAGATTAGAATAATTTGAGGAACTTCCTAGGACAGAAAACTTACAAAAAAAAAAAAATCTTATTGCATACGTGAGTTGTCAAAAAGATGAAAGTAATTCTCAGAAGCAAAAGACAGCACTAGTTAGAAAAGAAGTGCTGATGCTGATATCTATACCGAGAGGGGGACATCTGCTAATCTCTCATGGGCTAAAAGTTTCAGTTTTAGTGGGATGTGTATGGGGGACAGAAGAGGGTCATGTGCGGAGAAAGGAGGGAAGTCTGAGCAGGGTGGAAAGTAACACTCTTGGCAAAAGAATAAACTAGGAAATAAGACATTTCAGAGAGGGTTATGATAAGGAACAATGCATATCTCAGCTTTGGCTTGGGGAAAAGTGCCATGAGAATTCCTTACCACAGTTAGCCCCCACGAAGGTTTTGTGTCAGAGCTTGCCTTACCTGTATGTCCTGAAAAGCCTCAAGCTGAGAGTTTATTTTACAGTGATACTGAGTTGATAGTACCCTCAGGCACCTGGCAGAAACAAGATCAAATCCTTTCTGGAGAAATATACTTCAAGCACAAGCCTCAAAGAGTTTCCACAAGTATCCCAAAACACATAAACTGAAAATCTAAAATCACAAAGAAAATTGCCACTGTGAGTGAGAGAAAAAACAAATTACGGAATCAAATTTGCAAAGACTATAGAAATTGGGGTATCAGTGGCAATAGTAGGAATCATATGTATGACCAAGGAATAAGATAACAAAACAAAAGAAAGCAAAAACAAATATTAAAAAAAAGGTGGATTGTAGAAATAACAAAATGAAATACAACAACTGAAATTAGGATGGATAAACAATAGAATTAGTGAACTGAAATATATGTCTAAAGAAATAGAATGTAGGATTGCTATAATGATATATAAGTTAATGGCAAGGTAAAAGTCAAGGCTTCTTGACTTTTCAGATAATTTTCCATATCAGATTAGACTTTAGGATGCCTAATATATTCCAAGCAGATTAAAAGAAATTCCATTCATATTATTCTGAAACTGCAGAACACAAAAGAAAAAAAAGAAAAAGATACCTTAAAAGCACCCAGAGAGAGAAGACTACCCTCCAAAAGTCAACAATTATACTGACAGTTGGTTTCCCAATTGCAGCAATGAAAACCAGAAGACAATCGAAGAATTTCAGAGTGCTGAGAAAATAACTTGTGAAACTGTCATTCAAGAATGATGGAAAAAATTGACTATGTGATAAACAAAAACTGGGACTTGTAAAGGATCTTCCGAAGATAAACTCGAAAATAATGGAAAATGATTCCAGGAAGAGGGCTTGAGAAGCAAAAAAAAAAAAAAAATGAATAGTGAGTAAAGACAATTGTAAATGAGGATAAATCTAAACAAGCATTCACTGTCTAAAAACAATAATAATAATTTCTTACTTAAGGAGCTAAAAAACTCATGATTAACTAAAAGAAAAGACTATTATTTCCCAATTGAATGGTCTTGGCACCCTTGTTAAAAGTCAATTGAACATAAATGTGAGGAATTATTTACAGACTTTCAGTTCTCTTCCACTGATATGTCTTCTGTTTATATTTAATTTTTTTCTCAAGATTTTTTTATTGATTTCAAGTTTACTGACTCTCTTTCATATCCATTCTACTGTTAAGCATACCCAGTGAATTTTAAATTTCAGATATTATATATTTCAGTTATAGAATTTTCATTTAATTATTTTTTATAGTTTGTATTTTTCTCCTGAGGTTTTTAAAAAATCTTTTCTTTCATTGTGAGCATATATTTCTTTACTTCATTAAGCATGGTTAACAACAGCTGCTTCAAAATCCATCCCTTCTAATTGCAATATCTGGGTCATCTCAGAGTTAGTCACATATGATTGTCTGTTATCTTGAGATTAGGCCACATAGTCCTTGTTCTTCATATGTTGAGCAACTAATTTTGGATTGTATCTTGAAAATTGTGAATGTTATGTTGTGAAGACTCTGCATTTTATTATGCCTTTCTAAACGGTGTTGATATTTTTGTTTTGCAGGCAATTAACTCAAACTGTTAACTCTCCTGGGTAGCAGCTCAAGTCTCAATTTGATTCTTTTATCTTTACTTTGGGCTGCTTGCAGTTTGCTTTGCCCACTGAGATTCAGGGACAGCCAGAGACTTGGGGACAGTGTAACAGAAGAGTTTGAGGTTCCCCCTCTGGCTATGTTTTTCCCTTAATTTCTGTGGCTGTGGTAGCCCCAGGCTTTGTACTCTGAATCTTCGTGTCAGAAAGGCTTTCTATTGGAGTTTTCGTCACCCTGGATTGTCTGACTATGACCTACTCTTAAGCTAAAAGCAGTAAAAACCAGAAACTCATCTTGTACAAGTCCCTTCTTCCAATTTTTAACTCCCCTCCAGAATCTCTCTGCTTTTGTTCACTCTTCAGATCCTTCAGGTAGTTATTTCTTGTGTTTTGTTCAAAGTTTATAGGTGTTAAATGTAGGATTGGTATGTTAGGAGCTTTCTCAGCCATACTAGAAGAAGAACTCCTTTCCATTCTACTCTTGATGTTCATTAGATTGTGTCATCTGACCAGCATAACAATGTTGCTATTAATAAATTTGTGCACAGATCTCTTGGTGAAAATGTGTAAGAGTATACCTAGGGTATATATTTAAGAGTGGAATTGATGGGCCATATGTTAGCACATTTACAACTATACTAAATAACGCCAGTCTCTTTTCCGAAGTGGTTGTCCTAAATTTACACTTTCTCCAGCAGTGTAGAAGAGTTTCTGTTGCCATATTCTCACCACTACTTGGTATTGTAAAGCTTTTAAACTTTTGCCAAATGGTGGATATGCATTTGTATCTCATTATAATTTTAACTTGTATTTTTTCTTGATTATGAAT